AGCCCCTCGTGACTTCAGCCTCGGCTATCTATGGCTGATACATCTCAGGCTTGTGTCTCTGTAGTGGCTTCTTTTCCTTCCTTCCTTTCCTTTTAACTTGCTCCTACTGTGACTTTGCTTATCCCCTCTCCTCATCCCTAGAACCTTCTCCCTGTCAGCAAGAAGGGGCTGGTAAGAATACCTGTCTCATGGTGTTCTTAGGATACTGCATAGAGATGGTTTAGAGCAGTATATAGGGAATTCCCAGAACAGAGTACTTAGGCACACAGTGGATGCTGTGGAAGGAAATGTTAGCTATGAGTATTATTACTGCCCACCTGCTGATCCATTGCAGATGTACCACCCCCAAAACACTCATTTCATCAGCCCATACCTCTGCCCCAAAGTCTGCAGTCTGAGACTGAGAGTCCACGTAGCACTCATCCCTAAAGTGAGCATGCCAGAGGTGGGAACAGAAAATTATGATGTCTTTTGTGTTTTTATTTCATTCTTTTAAATTTTCTACTTTTGGAGTGTGTTTTATACTCAGTTCAGTCCAGTCACTCAGTCATATCCGACTCTTTGTGACCCCGTGGACTGAAGCACACCAGGCTTCCCTGTCCATCACCAGCTCCTGGAGCTTGCTCAAACTCATGTCCATCGAGTTGGTAATGCCATCCAACTGTCTCATCCTCTGTTGTCCCCTTCTTCTCCTACCTTCAGTCTTTCCAAGCATCAGGGTCTTTTATACTAGATAGTTTTGAATAAAGGTATTGTTATTGTTCAATCATTAAGTCGTGTCTGACTCTTTGCAACCCCATGGATTGCAGCCCACCAGGCTTCCCTGTCCTTCAGTATCTCCCAGAGTTTGCTCAAACTCATGTCCATTAAGTCGGTGGTGCCATCCAACCATCTCATTCTCTGTTGCTCCCTTCTCCTCCTACCCTCAATCTTTCCCAGCATCAGGGTCTTTTCTAATGAGTTGGTTCTTGGCATCAGGTGGCCAAAGTATTGGAACTTCAGCTTCACCATCGGTCCTTCCAATTCAGGGTCGATTTCCTTAAGGATTGACTGGTTTGATCTCCGTGCTGTCCAAGGGACTGTCAAGAGTCTTCTCCACCTTTATTTTTGTCTTTATCTTTGCATATGTGAATGTGAAGTCACTCAGTCGTGTCTGACTCTTTGTGACTCGATGGACTGTAGCCTACCAGGCTTTTCAGTCCATGGGATTTTCCAGGCAAAAGTACTGGAGTGGGTTGCCATTTCCTTCTCCATAAAAGTGTCTAATTCACAAATATGTATAATGCAAGTGCATGCTTTAATAAATGAATATACATGTATATATATATGTATGTGTATGTTGGAAGTATTTTGCTGATAGAAGTGCAAGCAAATAAGTCTTGACAGTCAGGTCCAGACCCTGAGCCTGGCGTTGCCCTGTGGTGGCCCCAGCCTGGCAGCCCTGACTCGCCTCCACCTCCTAGCCTTGCGACCCTCACACTGTCCACCTGCCCACCCCGTGCTTTTGGATTTCTGTCATTGCTTCTCCCCTCTCCCTGCTCCTGGAACGTTCTCTCTGATTTTCTCATTTTCTTTTCCTATCCAGAAGTTCACCTTAATGCCATCTGTTTCATCAAGCCTGCTGGTACAATTCCAACTTGGAATGCTCCCTTTGAGTTCCTTAGACCTTCCTTGTTAATATCACTCATCTGGCCCCGTTGTTTTCTCCATTGCATTGGGACCCTTGGCCATGTATGTCTCTTGGTTATTCTATGTTAGCTTTCACATGGATGTGCCTTTTAATTATAAATTGCTTGCTGACTTTATTTTGAGCTGTATATTGTTTCTCCCATTTATCTGGAGACACACACCTATACTTATTGGATGACATTAATATATCTATTTTTTTTATCATAGTAATATATAATTATTTGTGCTGATGTGCTGTGTACTCACTTGTGTGTGACTCATTGTGACCCTATGGACTGTAGCCTGCCAGACACCCCTGTCCGTGAGATTTTCCAGGCAAGAATACTGGAGTGGGTTGTCATTTCCTCCTCCAGGGGATCTCCCAACCCCGGGATCTAACCTGTGTCTCTTGCGTCTCCTGCATTGCGGGTGGATTCTTAACTGCTTGAGCCTTTGAGGAAGCCCTGTACAATTATTTACAGTAAGGTAAAGATTCATTTGTTATACATTTGGGATCTGAATGTCCTTGGATTTGCCAGCATGCTTCAGCTCAAGGCAGGCAGACATTTATCTCCAGTGCATTAATGAACATCTTTTGTGTGTGGATTCATTGTTTTCTTTTATTCCAGGTAACCTAAAAATCGTAATCCTTGTGTTTAATGCCTTTATTTCAGTGCTTGTAGTTGCAAGTTCTGAATGGTCCCCTGGGAAGGAGGCCATTCTAGTGAGGAAAGCTGGATGGTACACAGAACATATCCACTTAATCTGAGTTTTCCCCCTCTTCAAACATTGTGAGAACGGCTATTTCATCAGCCAGGTTTCTTCAGTTTGTGACAGCAGCTGTGCAATCATTGAATCTGCCATTGGTCTTAGAATCAGAAGAGAGAGGTTTAAATCTTGCTTTTTATCTCCTGCTGGTTTCATGGACTTGATCAAGTCATGTACCCTCTCAAGTCATCTAATCTTATCTGTAAAATAAGCTTGCTAATCTATACTTCCCAGAATTCTTATGAGGATTGATTAAGATATGATCTGTGAATATGCTAGACCCCTGGGAGGTGGTCAGCTTAAAGGAAAAGGAAAAAGGGATCACTCCCTTTGTCCCCTGTGAGCCTTCCAATGCAGAGTGTATTTTGGGGAGAAACAGACAGCTTCAGGGAGTGGACCTACCTGATTGAGCAATCTTAGGTTGGAGCCCAAAGGCTGGCTATCCAGGCAGCCTGACTGTCTCTAATAAAATGTCTGTGGTATCCCCAGGGAGCATGGAGATTAATTAGTTCATCTTTGTAAAGTGCTTTGAAGGTGAAAAGTGCTATATAAGTGGAATGGTTGAATTGCTATTGGAAATGTAATCATGGTAGCGCCATATTCTGGCAGTCTTGCCTGTCTTGGACATTAGTAATCAATAGCAGAGAAGGTTCTAAGATGTCTTACTTGATAAGAAAGGATTCACTGTGGGGTTTGTGATAACACAGTTCTTTCTGTAGTCTTGCAGTTAGCAACTTGCCAGTTCTTCTCAGTGGAGGAATGCTAGTGTTCTTTAAGAAATAGCAGTTTCATCCTCTGGCTTCTTGGGGCTCTTCTTGCTAAGGCAGCCTGGTGGTAAACCCCAGCGAGCTCAAGCAGAGGGACAGTTTGCCAGTTGGGAATGCTTTGTGGGTCCTGGACCCTTGAGCTTTCTTCCCCCCAATCCTACAGAAGTTAAGGAAGAGTTAGGAGGCATTGACGTGGGCCGTGTGAGTAGCCACTGCAGAGTGGTGTCATGGGCTAGAAGGAGGAGATGCGGCCTAACTGTGTGACCCAGGGCTGGTCACGTCTCTGAACCTTCATTTTCCCACCTGTTTAATGGGATCACAGTGGTTGATGAGTACAGTAATAAAGGTGCTCATAGGAAGGAGATTTCTTCCATTCTGAGGAGAGTTTAAAAGTCAAGAAAGGTTTTGCAGAACTGGAATCCATGAGCTGGACTCTAAAGGTTGAGTCATAGTTTGTCAGGTGAATGAAGTAAGGAAGGGGCATCCATGGCAAAAGGAACAGCGCATGTGAGGCCAGGAAACAGCACATCTGAATGGACCCCTTCCTTGTTCTTATAATATATCTGTTACCCCATGGGTTGCACAGACTTGGTTCCCTCTTTGAGGAAGCCTGGAAGAATTTTTTGGTATCGACGTTGGTGTCTGTGAGCAGATTGGTCCTGAGAACCATATTCCCCCAGAACCCTGTACCCCTTCACAACTCTGACATTTCCCCTGTGGTTGTTTTTTCACTGACACTATAAACCATATGTTGAATGTGGGGCCAGATGAAGCTCTGATACTAAAACACAGAGTATGTAGTAGATTTGTCTAGAATTTAATATGCATTACTTGGTGTTTTGTCTCTTAAGCAAAGTTTTTCTTTGTTAAAACAAACATGTATAAAGAATTTATACAGAGCACATGGTTATGCATATTTATTGTAGAGAATCTGTTAATAATCTATGCCTCATCAGATTTTGCATTTCTGTTGAAATAACAAATGCGGCACTTGGTACAACTAAGTTCAGTGAATTCTCTCTTATCTGGGAGAAGAAAGGCCAGTTCCTTTTTTCCAAACTTCATTTTCTTCAGTCGTCTTTAGCACTGGCCAGCTTCCCAGGTGGTGCATTCGGGGGACTGACTGCTTTTCTGGCTCCAAGTGATTTTGTCTTTTTTTTTTTTCCTCTCACTCCCTTCCCTCTAGCACACATAGGCATTCGCCTTGGGACTGTTAGCATTGCTCCTGTGGGTAAGAGCGCAGACTCTGGAAGGTCCTCTGTGTTACATGGAGGGGAAAACACGTGTCAGTGGCTACTGAGAGGTTGTGGCCTGGGGCAAATCAGGAGCCCGGGGAACCTCAAGGTGGCTGATGGGGGGCTCTGGATTGGATGAGAAAGAGGGGAGCCCAAGAACAGATATCATTTTCCCCTGCGAAGTGAGAGGCAGGTATGGGGGAGGGAAGAGGGGTTAGAAATATTACGTAGAGAGCAGTGGAAGTGTTCTCTGTGGCCATGTCCACATCTGTTAAAAGGCAGGAGCCCAGGCTATAGAAGCAGCCTCTGCTGGAACCCAGCTTTGGCACTCACTCCTTGTTGGATCTTGATCAAGTCAGACATCTTACCTCTCTGAGCCTCACTTCCCACATCTGTAAACATGTGCCTGTGCGTGCTTTCTTTACAGGAAGATAGGAAGGCCCCTGCTGCGTGGTAGTTGGTACTGAAATGAGTGATCACACATTCTCTTGTAGTTCTTTGCTTACCCATGGGAGCACAGCCATGGAATATAGCCTTAATTCAAGTTTTGTTTTTGTTTTAGTAACTGGCAAGGTGTTTACCTGGGGCCGAGCGGACTACGGTCAGCTGGGGAGGACAGTGGAGACTCGTGAAGGCTGGCAGTCAGAGAAGCAGGATCCATCCCTCCCTGGCTCCGGGCCACAGAAGGGCACACCTTCGTGTCTGCCTTGCTTAACGGGAGCGACTGAGGTAGGAAGTGACCTCTTTCCACAGAGGTGATGTGTCTCTCTTCCTTGTCTTTTGGGGGAGTGTCCACTGAAGGCCTACTGTGTGCTTATAGTCCAGGCTGTATGGTGAGTTTCACACAGGAGACTGAGGGGTCTTCACTTTGAGTTGTTCAAGTTGAATATGGTAGAAAAGGCAGTTACCCAGGTACCTGTACTGTAGGGCAGACTGTCTGTGACTCCTTTGGAGATTCCAGGGGCTCCAGGTCCTCTTCAGAGGGTGAAAGATGCATTCAGGATACAGGACTGGGTTGGGCTTTGAGGAGGACCTGGCTTGAGCTGTGCCTTGGAGGATGGGTGAGACTTGAGCAGGCATGAGAGAGAAAGGAGGACTTTCGTCATGGGGGTGGGGAAGTGAGGAAGGTGTTTGGGGAGCATTGGTGGTTCTGTTTGGCTGGAGCCTGGGGTGTCTGTGGTGGGGAATATGAGGTAATATCAGAAGGATGAGTTGGGACTTTATCAGAGGGGCGTCTAATACTAAGCTGAGTAGTTTGCTCTTCTGTTTTTATTTCCCAGTGTAGAAAACACAGTAGTTCAGTTGCTTATTCAAGCCCCTTTAGTTCCCTGAAATGTCTTGAATTTCTCCATTTAAGGCAGGAGTCTTAATTTCTCCAGGGTATGTGTTTCTATTACTAAACTTTATTTTACTGCTGTCCTTAAAAAAAAGAAAAGGAAAGGCTAGGTTTTTGAGAAGAAGGAGGATGGCCACTCAGGAAATGTGCCTCTGAACCCAAGTTGGCTTCATGTATGAGTTCAGTCTTCATTGAGTCTGTCAAAAAAATTAATAAGCTAGTGAGACTTCTGTAATTAGCATCAGACTAATTACAACCCTGTCCATACCTGGAGGGCTTCCCCTCCCCCGGGCCTGCCTGGCCTCCTCCTTCCGGGTATGTAGGACGGTTCTCAATTTCTGCCTCACATCCCAGCCCTGTTCCTCCTGGGTCTTTCCTTGGTGCTTGGTTGAGTCTGTCTGTCTCTCTTTTTCTTTCATTGTAAAGGCACTCAACAATACCAATTTAGATATGATAACACTAGTAATAAAACTACCTGTTATCTTGCCACCCTAACACAACTACATTCCTTTTTTCATATACACATGTAGACACTTTACAAAGTTGTAATGCTGGCATTTATGATGCTTTATACTTATTTTTCATTTATTTTATCACAAATGCCTTGTTTTGTTTCTTCTTGGTCTTTGAAGGTTACTCAAAATGACTGTCTAATATTATATGGTTTGAAGGTTCTGGGGTTTTCCAAACCATTCTGTGAATATTGGACATGAGATCATTTCTTCTTTTTTTTGGTCACTATAGTGAATTCTGCAGCAAATACCCTGTTGAACTGTTTCTTGAAGGGAAAATCTTGGGGATGACATTGCAGGGGCAAAGGGCATGAGCATCTTCATGGCTTTTGCTGTATTTCTGTAGATTGTGTTTAAGAGAAGTTGACTCCAGTGAAGGAGGGAATGCAGTACTTGAGCTAGTGCTGTCTGCTGAGTGAGGAAGGTGCTGAGAGCTTGGTACCTGTTGCTTCAGACTCTCTTGCTTTCCTTTTCTTTCCCAGAATGCTTAAAACATAGTGGTCAGGTAGCATAGCAGAGGCACACCGGCTTCATGGATTTTTCTGTCTCTGGTTTTATTGGCAAGATGAAGACAAGAATACCTGCCACAGAAGGTCATTGATGAAGGTCACATGCAAAGTTTTTGGCACCCACTCAGCATGCAGTACCTGCATGCTGCATCTTCCCCTTTGGAGCCTTGAAATGCCTGGCGGTGGTCATGCTATGTAGCCCTGTGGCAGTGCAAGCAGATAGCTGGAGAGCTTCACCTTGATGTGATTTTTATTGAGCTTCTTGGCAGGGCGGTGTGAGGAGTCAGCTTGAGCCCTGAGCCCTGTGGCAACTTCATTCCTGTGCTCCCCTCCATTTCCTCCCAGGCTCTGGGAAGCTGGGACTGGTGTGTGTACTCACTGGTCTCACTGCAGGCGCAGACCCCAGGTTGTTTCCTGTTGGTAATCTGGGTCTGGGAATTCTCTCTGCTGTTGATGTCCAGGTCTGGCTGCTCAGGCAGCTATTTGCTGGAGGCCCAGAGCTGTAAGCTGCTAGGAGTGGGTTCACCTTAGAGAAGACCAGAGCTGTAATAAACCAGGGAGTACCCTGATAGGGGCTTGTCCAGGGAGGTGCACAGACACCTGGGGAGACAGGAACAGCCTTGGACTAAGCTGATGATTCCTGACCTTCAAGGACCTGAGTGGCCCATAGCTGACCTGTTACCTTCTGCTGTGTCCAGGGATAAAGAGAGGGAGGAGGGAGCTATCTGGGCTGAGGCATCAGGTAGGATGTCTGCCCAGGAGGATCCAGAGAGACAACCAAGTGGGAGAGGAAAGCACAGGGAGACACAGTTGGACTGTGGTCTGACTGACCCCTCACACGAACAAAGGAAAGCAAACAAATCCTGTGTAACTTGGTGGTTAATATGGCCCAGGAAGCATGCTAAATGCTTTACATTTATTCTTTCACTTTAAAAAAAAATTTTTATTTTTTTAATATTCTTTCATTTTTACAATTAACTTGGACACAGATGTTATAATCATTGTGGTAAAAATAAGGAGACTAATGGGTAAGTTGCTGGCCTTGGATCACACAGTAGGTAAACTGTGGGGCTGGGACTTGGACTTGAAGCTCTCATACTTTCCTTAGAGATGAAACAATGTTGCCTGTGTATGCTCACCTGCAGGGAAGTTCTGGGAGTCAGGATCTCTGATTCTTTGAGAGTCCCAATTCTTTTCTTCTCAGCCCTGTCTTATATCTAGCCTGAGAAAGACCGAGATTTTAGACCAGACAGGCCGTGGTTCAGTGTTCTTACAGTACTGAAGACTGTGTTTCATGCACTGTCAGCTTTGCCTTAGGTACTGGCCCTCTCTAACCACTCTTGGAAAATTCCAGGGTGAGCACAATGGTTGGGATTACCCCCTTGCGCATGTCAGGGCAGGGTGTGTGTGAACTGGTTTGTTTGCTCCCCACCAGCAGCCTTTTGCTTTCTAAGTTCCCGGTGGGGCTACTCTCTGTTCATTTCCTGTGGAACACACTGGTTCCGAACTCCACCCAAAGGCAGAAGCCCCCACTCCCCAGGAGGAAAGAAGTGTCTGTACTCACTTAGTGGGTTCAGTGGGGCTCCCCCAAGATTCTGAAGCAGCTAGAGTAGGGTACCTGTTATGTTAGTAGAACCATCAGGAGACATTCTTGACTGAAGGTCAACAGCCTCTGAGGGGACAAGGTCCAGTTTGGGGTTCAGAAGACCTGGGTCTAGCCATGATTCTTCCCTGACTGGGTAAACTTGGGCAAACCCCTTTCCTCCTGTACCCCCCCCCCCCATTTTTGAGAGTCGTTCAGTCATGTCCAACTCTTTGTGACCCCATGGACTGTTGTCTGTCAGGCTCTTCTGTCCATGGAATTCTCTAGGCCAGGAGACTGGAGTGAGTAGCCGATCCCTTCTCCAGGTGATCTTTCTAACCTAGGGATCGAACCCAGGTCTCCCACATTGCAGGTGAATTCTTTACCATCTGAGCTACCAGGGAAGCCCAAGAGTACTGGGCTATCCCTTCTCCAGCAGATCTTCCTGATTCAGGAATTGAACCAGGGTCTCCTGCATTGCAGGTGGATTCTTTACCAGCTGAGCTACCAGGAAGCCCCATGATTCTGCCCTGACTGGGTAAACTTGGACAAACGCCTTTCCTCCTGTACCCTTAGTTCTCCAGTATATAGGTTAGGGTTGTTAGACCAGGTGATTCCTAAAGTTTCTTATACCTCTTAAAGTCCCTTCCATCTCTGATTCTTATTTTAAGGAGATGATCATTACTTAAATTTGTAATGACTCCTACCCCTAGAGTCCCTAGGTGTCACAGCCAAGGTCACTCAACCCTGAGCTGCTGGCCCAACTTTGGCAGATCTGGAAATGTTGGCTCTGTTCTCTGCCCTTATTCCTCATCCCCAGGGCCCCCTGTTCCAGTTTAGGTCATTGGGACTTGGATGCTCCCACCTGGCCCTCCCAGGACTTGCAGTTCTGCTCTGACTCCCGTCCCTGTGACTGTGACCTTATTGCTGGTAACAGCAGACCTGGGTGACTCCACCTTCCTACATCCCCCTCCTACCACCCCCGCCGCTGGTTCTGTGTGTGCTATCCCACCTTTGTGCATGTCTCTTGGGTTTATCCCCTTCTTGGCATTGGGCTCTTGCCCATTCTATAGGTAACCTGGGGAACATTGGTTGACACCTACCATATGCTTGCTTTTGGTGGTAGCTGGGAAGGTGGGTACAAAGATAAAGAATAGTCTTTGTCATCAAAGAATTTCCAGGTGTGTAAATAAATTCCTTACCATGTAGAGTGAAAAGTGCTGTGGGAGGTGTGTACAAAAGGCCAAGGGAGCAGTGAAGATGGAATGATTTACTCTGAAGACACTAACAAAAAAAAAAGTGTTTGGAGTCCTTAAAGATGAATAGTTTAGCAAAGGGAGGAGGACTTTCCAGGCAGAGGGAACAACATGAGCTGAAGTCTTGAACCTGGATCTGCTTTTAGCTCCTGGTACAGGCGGGATGGCTGCCACGTCCTGTGGTCCAGCCGAGTTTTATAGCCTGGTTGCCTGTTTCACTTGTTCCATCACTGCCATCCATCCTTCTGGTAGGAGTCCTGTCTAAAAGAGAGTAACTCTCATGTGCGTCATGTCTCTTGATCCCAGTGTGATGCTGTGAAGTAGGCCAGAATAGGAATGTTTATCCTTGTTTTATAAGTGAGGAAACTGAGACCCGGAGAGGCTTGCTGGGAATTAGGAGAAGACCTGAGACTAAGCCTGCTTCCCAGTGTTTCTGAGAGCCTTGCTCTGGGCTCAGTCTGCAGCCATGGTCCTGAGTCATGTTCCTGGTTTAAATTCTGCCCACGTCTGGTTGAAGAGCACCAGATCCCAGCC